TTGTAGCACATAGCACTGATGATTAAACGGGAATGCCTTCTTTCTCCTCTCCTTATTTCTCATATTATCCCTGTTGGTGGATGGTACTTATCAGCTATTCAGCTCAAAAACTTCAAACACATTACACTTGTTGTACTCTTTGATCAAGCAGTGGTGCTGTCTGCCTCGTCGTTTTGGATGCTAATATGCAAATTCGTCCTGTTGTGGTCTCCCAAACTCCTCGCTATGTTTCAATAAGGGTGCCATCGTCGTTGATGTGCTTTGTTGTGCTCTCCCTGTTGTCGTGTTGATGCACTTTGCCGTTTGCATGAGTGTTTCTGTTAATTAGTGCCATGTCTCGGTGAGCTTTTACCCTTAGCATGAATATTGGTGTTAATTAGGGCCGTTGTGTTGGCGTGCTGCTCATTGATCTCTTGGTATTTAGTGCTTCAGACTCGCTGGCATCGAACATCGGATCGCAGGGCACCTGAGTGCTGACCGAGTTCAACAGTCAGTCACTGCACACTACGTCAGGCACTCCCTTGAAACTATGCTGTGCATTCAGTCGAAACGGCTTTCCGAAGATCGCCTGTTAAGCGGCCACTCCAGCGGCCCCTGCACTGTTCATTTAGCTTGTCTCCAAGTACCGGTCCAAAATGTACAGTGCCACAATTATTTTTCTTGCACCGTAGATTCACGGGGCCCGGCAGAGGTTTGTAGCTGAAGGGTACACCAATTATTTTTCCTCGTGGCGGAACTATAGATGTCAGGCTCGGGGAAATGCAGCTTTTGGTTTGTCAAAACAGGTCCAGATGGAGTCCAGGTTTGACAAGCAGTAAGTAACTTAGGTCTTGATTGGCGTGACGGTTGACATTGTGAGGTTTTGTGTCTGGATTCTGCCTGACTGGTGCTGCAGGTTACTGAGGATGGGTCCATTTATCCCGTTACCAGTGACTCGGACATCTGGACTCTTGCAGAGCGCCACATACAGATGCGGGTGGTCTTTAAGAATGCTGAGCATCCTCCACAGGGGGGGTCTTTTCCAGACAAGCAGGGCGGAGTAGAGATTCCATGGGGCCAAGTACACCCTCTTTTGTTGCAGGGTGAAGAGAACCTAGCTACGGGAGTGCCTTCCAGAGAGGATCGCAAGGATGCTGAAGAAAGGGTGAATGAGGCCTGCATTGCTGTGAATGCGGTTGCAAATGGCAGCGAAATGGCTCTTGTGATTGCGGCTGAAAATGGCGAAATGGCTCCTGTGGATGCAGCAGCTGCTAATGAGGGGCCTGCTGAGCACAGAATGGGGAAGCTGGCGGGAACGGATGCAGGTAACGGTGACTGTTTCTCGGACTTTCTCCTAATGGAAAATACCTTACCCATTCGTTCGATGTGGTTGAGCTGGGCCATCGGGTCTGGACCTGCACGCAGTACTCAACCCATCTGAAACTCTGGATGGGACAGGGAAAAAAGTTCTTTTTTGAAGGTTTTTTTTTTTTTTTTTTGGTTTTCGGCGTTTTGATTGATGCACTTGTGCGGCTGTGCCTGGTGAGAACACTTTGATGGACGATACAACTCCCCGGTGTTCGTTTGCAACAGTGCCTTGGGT